CAATCTTAATTACAAATTACAGAATAGTAAAAACTTAAAATCATCAACAGCTGATTTGGCTGCAGTCCTTTTCTGCTTGTTCTTCAGTGGGCACAGAGATGATTGATTAAAGATAAATGGATATCAGTGAAGGAACCATGATTTGCCTGGATGCAGCTCACACCTGGCAGAGCAAAACCTGCCCTGCTCCCTTCCTGGGGGCAACCACAATTCCATCATCTGGATTGCTCCAGAAAACCTATCCAACAGGCATCTTCACATGCAGATGAATGTTTTGGAGTGCTCTTCTGTCTGCCCATGCTAATAGCACAGGCATGATTATGCATTTCTATTTCAGCATAATTTATAAACAATCAATTAGCTGAAGGCAAGAGAAGCCAGGACAGTAGGAAAGGGGAGTGGTGTAAAACTCCAGCAAAGTGGGCAGATATTGGCAGTGTGTTGTAGCAGCACAGCAAGAGAGGGGTGAAGAGGACAAATATGCCAGAAGAAAGGACTGAGAGAGGAGTCAGGAGGAAGGGAAGGTCCCCCCTGTCATGTCATTGATGCCAGCAGATAGAAACAAATTGCTTCTACAGTCAAGTCCCTCTTCAGGAATGGTTAGAAAAAGATCTTATTTCTCTCCACATCTGTTTTTTGACAGGTGACAAAACAACAGCATTGCTGTCGATTCGCTCTCCTGTGAACTGTTGGGAATAAAAAATACCCAGGCCCACATTCTCCTGGTAAAATATTGTTATTGACATCCCACTTATGTGCATTCCATATTAATGCTGCTTCTCCTGCTGACCAGAGCTGGTGCTTCCCTCCTCCTACTGCAATCCATGAAAGCTGTCAACTAAATAATGTCATTTTTTGACTAAGTGCCTTCAGTATCTGACACTTGAAAGATGAAGCATTTCTCCTCAGTTCAGCCCAGCAGATTGTATTTTTCTATTTCCTCTGAATACAGAAGTCCTGTTTTGGAAAGTCAGCTTCAAACGTGAACGTGTCCAACTCCTGAAGCTGCTGGTTATAAAAGTTTAAAAAACCCCAAACCAATTTATAAGCCATCATTCAAGAATCAATAACCTATTAATAGCCTTGGGTGATACTTGTTGTGTGTTGGCATAATAGGTTCTATATAGAAATAATACATGGTGAACATGTCAAATAAAATCAAAGCTACCTGCAAGCAAACAAAAGAGAGCTGAGCTGTCAGCAGATCCTCTCCTACTTCTCATTCTTTTTAGAAAAATCTGTGTGTAGCAAATTACCCACTATTCTGAAAATTTACTCCCATTCCCAAGACCTGTTAAGCTTTTCCCAGAGATGGGTTAAGACCTAAGAGAGCAATTTAGGTCATAAAAATTTATCTCCTGTTATAACTGACATTGGCAAAATTCCAGTGTGAATGTCTTTTGTTCTCAATCTGGGTGTTCACAGCACGAAATTGCTGCCAGAGAGGCACCAGCAGAAGTTTGAGCACTTTCCTAAGGAACCTGCATCAGCAGTGAAGTCACATCACACCGAAGATAGAAACCACTAAATGCATTAAAATTCACAGCAGGCCATGTAGCTACAGAAATAAATGACCTGCCCAGTGGTGATGTCTCCATCTTCAGCATGACATTTGGATCTGGGGCTACTGAGCTCCTGGTCTGTCCTGATGCTTTCCCTCCCCTTCAGTGGGTTTTCCCCAAAAGTGAAGCTCTGTGAAGCAAAGAGCAGTTCACAAAGTTCGCTATTTGGTGACTACAAGAAAGTAGTGTGCTATGTGATATGAAAGATGGGAGTTTTACAGAAGTGGAAACCTTTGTTAGAATGTGTTTCTTGGCCAGTTCAATGTGGGTAACTCTATTTTAATAGAAATTAAGAAGAAGGCTGAGTGAAAAACTTGGAGTACCATGAAGTGATGATAAAAATAATTAAGGGAAGACCCCATTGTGGTCTTTAACAACCCCATGAGAGGAAGCTGAGGGCAAATACTAATCTCTGCCCTCTCATCATCAGTCACAGGACTCAAGGAAAGGCATGAAGCTGAGTTAGGGGAGGTTTAGGTTGGATATCAGGAGGAAGATTTTCTCCAGGGGACATCGGGCACAGCGCTGAGACTGCCTGAGCTCAAGAAATGTTTGGACAATGCTTTTGGGCACATGGTGGGATTCTTGGGGTGTCCTGCACAGGGCTGCTGGTTGGACTTGATGATCCTGGTGGCTCCCTTCCGATATTCCATGGTTCTGTGAGATTCCTAATTTTAGGCAGTTCCGTGTGGCTGCCCAAAGACTGCACTGCTCTGGAGTCTGAGCACTGATTTTCCCTGCCCTGCCCCTGTTTCGGCACATCCCCTGGGCACACAGTGGTTCTGGCACATCCCCTGGGCACACAGAGGTTCACTGGGCACACAGAGGTTCTGGCACACCCCCTGGGCACACAGAGGTTCTGGCACACCCCCTGGGCACACGGAGGTTCTGGCGGGGCCCCGCAGCCCGGCCCGGCTGTCCCTGAGCATCCCTGCCGGGGTGGGGCACAGAGAGGAGGCAGCAGCGGGCAGAGGAGGGAGGGGAGCCCCCCTCGCCGCTGGCCGGCGCTCCCCGGGCTCACAGGGGGAGCAGAGGTGCCGCCCCCTCTCTCCTCCTCCTCCTCCTCCTCCTCCTCCTCCTGCTGCTGCTGCTGCTGCTGCTGCTGCTCTTCCTCCTCACCGGCGCAGCCAGCGGCTTCACCGCACCGCGAGGACCTCGGGAAT